AGATGGTTCACAGATTCATTGTTGTTCTTTCTCATTGCATAGTACTCCATTGTGTGTATGTACCATAGTTTGTTTATCCATTCATCTGTTGATGGGCATAAGATTTGAATTTTTAAAGCTGACGTGATCTCCTTAATCTCTGAGAGGTAGGGCAGGACCAGAATTATTTCACTAGTGAGGAAACTGAGAGACAAAGGGTTAGGGTCCAGTTGGGATGACAGAGATGGAGGAAGGAAGGCAGACTTCAGAGGGTTTTGAAGCTCAGAGGGAAATACATTTTTTTTTTTTTTTAAGAAAACATCTGTTACTTTCCAGGTACACTTGACTACTCACTGTTAAGTAGGCGGAAGTCAATGAATGGATAGGAGCCACGGCGTTCAGCAGGAACACCTGTCTGACCCCTTAGTCGTACATCTCCTAGAAAACAGAAAATCCAAACAAATGTTTGAAAATGTTGCCAAGTGTATTCACTGTTCTTCTGTAAATCCTCTTAACTAGTTATGTTAATAGAACCAACACCAGATGGCAGGAGAAAAATGAATTCCATTCACCTTGCTTAAGAGAGCTCTATGTAGGAAGGGATATTTAATAAATGCTGAGTGTAATGAACATGGAGCCCTGGTGGCATAGTGGTTAAAGAGCTCAGCTGCTAACCAAAAGGTTGGAAGTTAGTTCAAATCTACCAGCTGCTCCTTGGAAACCCTCTGGGGCAGTTCTACTCTGTCCTGTAGGGTCGTGGACTTGACATTAATGGGTTTGGTTTTTGGGTTTGGTTTTTGAGTAATGAACTTGGCAATACTGTAACGAATGAAGCAGAGATCTTGCTTACATTTGCTTGAAAGATGTTTTAGCAATTACAAAGTTTCCATAGTTTTAAAATGTTTCCCAGGGTCATAAAGATGAAGCATCTTAATCTGGGAAGACAAATGGTGTGTTGGGATTGTAGCTGTTGTTGTTATGTGCTGTGGGGTAGATTCCAACTCATAGTGACCCTGTATGACAGAGTAGTGCCCCATAGCATTTTCTAGGTTGTAATTTTTAGGGAAGCAGTTTGCCAGGACTTTTCTCCCACAGAGTGGCTGGTGAGTTCGAGCTGCCGACCTTTCTGGTTAGCAGCACAGTGCTTAACCACTGAGGCACCAGGGCTCCTTGTAGCTCTTATGTTTATTAGAAAATTTTAATTGCCTACAGTATCATTTCTCTTGGTTCCAGCATAGTTATTTTCTGACTGGGATCTACCTTCCTTGTCTCCAGGGTTGTATCCTTGATCTGCTTTAGAATTTGTTGAGAATTTTTCTCTTTCCTTCATCCCCAGATAATGACCAGCCTAGTTCCAAGTACTTCAGACACTTGGCTACCTTGTAAGTGGAATAGTCTGTAGAGTTTCTATGATTTATTTATTTGTAGGTTTCCTTTAATGTTTGTGTTCATTTTCATTTTTGGTATGTGGTCCCGCCTTTCTAGCCAGGGAGGTAACACAATGGAGTGGAAAGAGCATTGACCCTGGAATAAAGCAGACCTTGTGTAAATCTGAAGGAGTCCTGGGGTAGCACAAACAGTTAAGAACTCATCTACTAAGGTTGGTGGTTCAAATCTACCCAGACGCACCTTGGAATAAAGGGTTGGTGGTCTACTTCTGAAAGTCACAACTACTGAAAACCCTATGGAGTACAGTTCTACTCTGAAACATACGGGGTCGCCGTGAGTAGGAATCAACTTGATGGTAAGTGGTTTGGTTTTGTGTGTGTGTAAACCTGGCTCAGATACTTGATACCCGTGTGATCTTGGGAAATTTAGTTCTCTGAACCTCAGTTGCCTCATCTGTAAAATGAAGCTAAGATCCACTTCTAAAGGGTCACTGTTGGAGCTTCTGAAAACCAAAAAACAAACAAACTTGTTGCTGTTGAGTCAATTCCGACTCATAGTCACCCTACAGGATAGTGTGGAACTGCTCCATAGGATTTCCAAAGAGCGGCTGGTGAATTCGAACTGCAGCCTGAGCTCTTAACCACTGTGCCGCTAGGGCTCCGTCACTGTATAGAATGGGTCTAATTAACAAAATAACCTTCGATGCCTGGCAATTACTGCTGGTTTCACTTCTTTCTAAACTCTTGCAGAGCAAGGATTGTGCAAATTATGTTTTTTGCATTTCTTGATAGCGCTTTGTGTGCTGTTTAGGATTTAGTAGACTCTAAGGAAATGTTCTTGTCAGCAAGAGTAGATGAAAAGACCAAATTCACCAAGTATTACGTATAATATGGAATTGGGAAGAGGTAGAAATACACTAGACCTAATATATTTTTGGAACAACTACATCAGGGAACCTTTCAATTCCAGGAGTAATGGGTCCAATCTCATAAGCCCCCTTTTTCCGAGACTTGAGGTGGCACTGGGCCCCCAGACTAGGAGTGAAGAGAAGGAACAGTCTTCTCTCCTCCCTCCTAACTCAAAAATTCAAAGCTTTGAATTTTATGTTGGTGATTTATTTAATGCTTCCTGTATTCTGATATTGTATTGCCATCTTGATATTAAAGAATATAACAATTTATGGAATAAAAGAGATTAAGCAAAGTGAGAAGAGGAGGGAAGAGATGGAAAAGTACATTTAAAAATATTCATGAATGAATATAATCTGACAACAAAGAAAGGAATGCAATGAGCGTTTGTTAAGTTCGGGGGGCGGAGGGCCAACAGTTGGAGGAAAGCGATGGGAAGCACTTTCGTCTCAGTAGTTGTCTTGAACACTCTATGTTTATAAGGTTCTAAAAAGTTTACAGAGCACTTTCACAAACACCACAGTTTGTTTATTTTCTTGTTACTCTCCTTGGATTCTCAGAATAGCCTTGTGAGAAGGGCCACTATTATTCTCCTTACTTTATAGGTGAGAACGTGGAGGCTCTGAGAAGACGGCTGCAAAGGACTACTATTCACTTCAGTAGCCTCAGCTAAGGGCCAGGCCCCTTAAAAGCAAACAGTAAATATCTGATGACTCTAATTAAAGCCGCCTGAATCGATGGTGCTTTAAGCTTATAATTAGCAGGGCTAGCACTTGAATCTGGAGTCCCTGGGTAGTACGACTAGTTAATGTGCTTGGCTGCTAATTGAAAGGTTGGAAGTTTGAGCGCACCCAAAAGCACCTCACAAGAAAGGCCTGGTGATCTATTTTCCAAAAAAACAGCCGTTTAAAACCCTATGGAGCACAGCTTTACTCTGACACACATGGGGTCACCAGGAGTCGGAACCAACTGTACAACGACCAGTTAGCCCTTAAATTTAGGATGTTAGATTTCATAGGCAGAGCTCTTTCCTCAATACCATTTGTTGTTAACCTTATGGAGGGTGCAGACCTAATTTTAAAATGGGAAGAAAAAAAGTCATAGACCCCTACATGATAGAAATTGTACTTCAGATAGCATTTCTATTGAGAAAATACAGCATGTCAAAATGATGTAACAAATTCAGCACTGCTTTTAAATGAGAGTTTGTATTTTATGAATGGCAGCAAGGTTGACATGCGTTTGAAGAACTGTGCATGAATGGGACCTATTCACTTGGTTTACAGACAAAGCTGACTGGGCTTGTGGATATGCTGCCCTGTTGTTATAATCCCTTGGGCTTCTCCCAGGGGTTCTGGCTTACGATTTGAAAATTGCTTCTCCACTAGTATTTTCTTCTTAGTATTACCAAAGAATTCCTCCTGACCTAGTAGTTCTGAGGGTACCATTTTTCCAGAAATCTTCTATATAATAACAATGTAGATTTGAAAGCCTCTTAAGGGATTTAGTCCCTTTATTCAACTTACAGTCAAAGGCAGAGGAGACCCATCATCGTGTATGATTTTAGATTTAGGGCAACTGTGCGGAGGCAGCACCACATGGCAGAATGGGTGAAGGAGAGGACGACGGACTAGGAATTAAGAGACTCTTGTTTCTGAGAAGATCAGTGTTTCGTCATATTGGGTGACTCTGAACAAATCGGTAATCACTTCGAGGTTCCGTTTTCTTGTATGTAATATAGCACAATTATCAATGTTTTGCCTCCCTCAGAGGGTTGTTGGGAGGAAAATATAAGGTGTGGAAAATAACATGATTGTTGTTGTTAGTTGCCATTGAGTTGGCTCTGACTCACGGTGATCCCATGTGCAACAGAACACTGCCCAATCCTGTGCTCTCTTCACTACTGTTGGTCCATTGTTTCAGCCGCTGTGCATTTTGGATGCCTTCCCATCTAGGGGCTCATCTTCCAGAACTGTATCAGATAATATTCTGTTGTAATCCATAGGGTTTTAATGGCTAATTTTTAGAAGTAGACCTCCAGATCTTTCTTCCTAGTTGGAAACTCTGCTGAAACCTGTCCACCATGGGTGACCCTGCTGGTATTTGAAATACTGGTGGCATAGCTTCCAGCATCATAGCAACATGCAAGCCACCACAGTACGACAAACTGACAGATGGGTGGTGGAACAACATGATAGGTAACATTTATTGAATGCTTATGCGGTGCTTACATTTTACATGCGTTATCTCATATCATCTGTATAACAACCCAATGAATTTGGTATTATTATTATTAGAGCATTTTATAGATGAGGAAACTGAAGTCAGTGGACATTAGGTAACTGGTCCAAGCTCACAGAGCTTGTGCTCAAACTCAGATCTGATTTCAAACCTTATGTGCTCAGTTACTCTCCTGTATTATCCAGATAAACAGTTAAGCATGAATATTTTCTTGCCAATGCATTCTTTGATTGCTATTTGCCAATAAGTCAAATGTATATTCATCATGATTCCTGGAAACTGAACACCAGGGGAATCACCCATCTTGATGAATCTGAGGTTCAATCAAATTGTTGGTGCTTATTCAAATAGCAGCTCAGGGGAATTGGGCTGCCTGAGTAAGACAAGCAAAGCCTGTTCTGGATGAACAAGGTATCTATTACTTTTAAGTAAGAAATGGAAAGCAATTATTAAAAAAAATAAATCAGGCAGAACTGAAATTATCTAGTAACCAATTTACTCAAACTTTCAATTAAGCAGAATTCAAGGTGCATCCCTAAACAAATACAACAAAACAAATCAAAAGTAACAACAACAAACTTCACAGTCACACCTGAAAGATTTGGTATCAGTGCTTCATATACTGTCTATACTTAGAGTCCTAAAAGCTGATTACTCATAACCAAAATGATGGCCCTTAGGCATTGTTATGGATTGAATTGTGCCCCCCAAAAATATGTGTTGTAAATCCTAACCTCTATGCCTGTGGTTATAATCCCATTTGAGAATGAGTTGTCTGTTATGTTAACGAGTCAGGATTGTGTAAAGTGTGTTTTAAGTCAATTTCATTTGATACACAAAACAGATTAAATAAGCAAGCAAAAGAAACAGAGATGGGGGAAGGGAGATGCTAAACCACAT